CCCGCGCGCGCAAAAATGCGCTGGGCCCGCCCGGCATCGAACCGGGGGACCCAACCGGCCGGGCCGCCCGGGACCCCTGCCGGACGGAGGCTGGGCTGCCGGGCGGCCCGGAATTTAACACAGGTTATAACTAGTTTCTGTGACAATACTGAAATTACCCCTAAAATAGAATATGAGGTTATAACTAGTTTCTGTGACTCTACTGAAATTACCCCTAAAATAGAATATGGGCTAACTCAAGGATGCTTTGATCCTTACGCGACTCCAATTCGCTAGAACAGGCTCAACTCTGTAATCGTCAGCAGGTTTGCACACTTTATTCTTGGGCAATCTTATTCATGAAGATGGCAATGAGCAGGATCTGAAGAAGCTATCTGGCCAGCAACCATATAAGATAAGAAAGAACCAATATCGCACTCTACACACAAAATTTTTTTTACATACAGGTATTGTAATAATTGCATGTATAATCATGCTGTGGCACACATCTCTCACTCCGGTTGAAGAGATGCTACTCTTATCCCATCAGGAAACGGATGGTTGAACTAACCTGAGCTTATTTCACTGCCGCAACCAGGATTATAGCGTTGCCAATCAGAATCACGATATGTAGTTAGGATTGCAAATGTGTAGGGAGCTTCATCTACTTGCTTACCATAGGAAGACTTACTGGAAGAAGAGTGCTACTACACATCGTTTCCATTCTTTTTCCTTGCAAACACAAAGTGGTCCATTCCACCAAGAGTCCATTCGACGGCGACCTAATTTGCTGGAGTCTTAGGTTACAGAAACATTTGAATTAAATCCACACCATAAGAAAGAGCATATATAAATATAGACTCTGAGAAGAGCCATAGGAGACGAAAGTCTCATGCATGGTTCGGAAGTCGAGCCATATCAGCAATGAGATGGTTTAGGTTAACAATCGCTCGCTTTTTCAGTCTTCATTAAGCCGGCGCCGAAGACGTCCTGATACCAAGTGTATAGCATGTCTTGATTTCTGCGAGTCAGGTGAATGCCAGTAAAAGCGTTCTGTTTGTCATTCCTTCACAGAGTAGGTAATCCGTTCTTCAAGATGTCATATACGGATGATATACCCGCATTTCAGAGTTTTTCCAACAATGATTAAGCAAGCAGTGCTTCCTTTCCTTTAGAGAATGAATGAAAACAACACAGAAGGCCCAGATCGAGGTGTTCAACAATGGCAGGCAGCCAGGTGGAGTTCTGGTTAAATAATTATTAAGACCATCTGTGGCTCACATAACCATAATCATCCATTTGCAGAGCGGGCGGGTTCTAATTTATAATTCATTGATAGGCACACCAAGGCATACACCGTTCACTTCATTGCCTGTAGAGTAAGATCAACCCAGCCAACAACTACATCACACTTGCTTTCCAGTACATCAGGCAACTACTACATCATAGTTGCTTTCCAGTACATCAGGAAACGTCCGAGGCAAAAGTGGGCAACAAGAGGGCATGGAACAATTTCTCCCTACCTCATGGAGCTTAGATAGATCAAGTTTCACACGCAGATGCTTCACCAATGCTGCCTGAACGACTACTTTTTCATCATCATTCCTGATACGCTCTGCAAGCAACAAATAGCCATCAGCGGCCAGTTCTTCATAACCCTGCATTATATCACACCATCACACAATGTGAAACGAAAGAATCACTGGTGGAATGGAGCTTCGCAGGGGAAGTCCCATTTCAGTGTCCAATTCAGGCTGCATAGCACATATATCATGCGGATAGGCAAAATCTCCTTGCATTCTACTGTCACTCCCAGTTTCAAGGGCGCAATTGGACAGCAAGGATAATAAATGGGGTATAGCATATTCTAATCCACAGGCGTTGTCATAGCATTGGCAGTGCAATTACATCGATCATATTAACAAACTTTTTTTTGGTTTTGCTCTTTACAACTGGCACATGGACAAAACAACTTGTTATACCGCTTAGAACCAAAAGAGATGCCCCTGGGGACCTTAGTGCTCCTCGACTGGGGTTTGTTTCCATATGTATGAAAGCGTGTGGAGTCTGTGGACTGATTTGCAATTCTTGAAATCCGGTTGTTTCTTCTGTAATTATTTGAGATGGACAAAACAACTTGTTATACCGCTTAGAACCAAAAGAGATGCCCCTGGGGACCTTAGTGCTCCTCGACTGGGGTTTGTTTCCATATGTATGAAAGCGTGTGGAGTCTGTGGACTGATTTGCAATTCTTGAAATCCGGTTGTTTCTTCTGTAATTATTTGAGTGTCTGCTCTTCGCAATGTTAGTGAAAAAATATTGCAAAAGCCATCCAATTATGTTTTAGGCGTGCTTAGAGACGAGGAAATGTTGGGTACCAAGATGCTTCCCATGCATGTGCTTTCCACAAATAGGAGGGACAGGAGTGTCAAGAGGTGTTGCAAGATACCTTCCAAACATGGGGGGGAGGTAGAGGGCATATTAAGCAGCATCACAATATGCTTACAACACATGGGCAGAGGGGAATCAGGTGTTCAGGGGTGTCACATGATCCTTTCTACCGGTGGAAGGACAGGGAGGGGTAAGGTACTGCAAGTTGTTTTTCAGGCATCAAGAGGGGATCAGGAGTGCTTGGGGGGTGTTTGTCTTACGCTTTCAGCATGTGGGAACGTGAAAGGGGAGTGTTGCAGGGTGCTGAATAAGGAGAGTCCCAAAAAGTGTCATAGGATCCTCTCCACATGGGAAGGAGCAAAGGAGAGGTCCAAAGGGGCTCACATGGGGTAGGAAGGGTCAAGGCTGTTCCACTATGCTTAATGTTCATGAGGGAGAGAGTGGGGAAGAGAGGGAGGGAAGGTGAATTATATATTGTCTTCCATGCATTGGGGGGATGATCCTTTCTGAGAATGGGCGGCATATGTGGGGAGTGAGGAAAATGGAGAAGTGGGTCACATGACATTCAGACTTATTTTATTTCTGTTCATCTGGTTGAATCTGGATTGGAACTTCGGACTGTGGTTCCACAACAGAGCTAGGCCAGTTGGTAACAGGCATTCTATCCATGTGTCTAGCAATCTATTAGCTCAACAGAAGCGTCTCTTGCCTACAGAAAACTATTGGCTCAACAGAATTGTTCCTCATAAATCATCTCCAGAGTCTCCTGGATGATCGTACTCAACGGAGCAACACTTACATTTGCATGCCTTTCCGCCCATCGGAAGAGATCCCTGGGAGTGATGAACCCATGTTTGCCTGCAAACACTTGGCTACTCTGCCGATGCCTCTGAAGATCCTTCATTACTTCCACCATTTTGGCTGCGTAGCTAACCAACACACAGGCAAATAGCAGCAGAAATCAATAGCCTCATAAATACTGCTTTATAGACGAATTCGACCATACACCGTTCGCAGTACCTTCTGACCATCAATCAGACAAGAGGGCCCTACTAGTTTATGTATGCATATTACAGAATCATTGACAGAACCACATTAACAAAAGAGGCCTTTGTCCCCCGGGACATCCGCTAAAATCAGAACGATTCAAACAAGAATAGCATGGCCCCTGCACAAGGATGACAGGCATAAACTGGGTAAATGTAAAATAAAAGGAAAAAAAGGCCCTTCGCAGGAAGGTCGATACCCCTTCAGCTGGCTGCCTCACACGTTGTATCAAATGCTTAAGCAGATTAGACCCGCCCCCATAGTGACAGCACCCAATCTTTCCTTTCATGGCCTTCTCAACATCTTTTGGGCATGGAAAGCATGGAGCTGGGCCGTCAGCAATCTTGGAATCAGGGGCCAGACTCAACAAAGCTCCCACACTCTGCATAGAAGGAACCCATCAAGGGACTACCGATGTGATACGAAAGAGGAAGGCCGATGTCTTCCTCTACTTCATCATCCCTTCCTCCTAGACATCTTCAGCATTCCCCATGTGACACCCTGCTGCACATCTTTCTCTTCCAACAACCTCACCAATTGTTCACTCTCTGCTGTGCTGGTGAGCCGCGCCCATGCTTTTCCTCATCTACCTCTCCCTCCAGTTTCATCAAGCTTTCTCCTGGCCTCCCTGCCTTCTTCATTGACCTCCATCATCAACTTTTCCCTGACATTATCCTATTCAA